ATAGACCAAAGAAAAAGACAAACGAACAGGACCCACTTTTCGCGCATCGCGATTCAACCAAGAATCAAACTCGACACGAAGAGCATTCTCACTCCCTCCGCTTCAGCCCGGCTCTGCACACCCCGCCCGTGTACCCCAGCGTGGACGTCGCCAGGATGAAGGCGGGCGTGCGGCTCCAGGACCCTAGTCATGATGAAATCCGCGAGACGGAGATAAGAACGCGTTAGATACCTGTATAGCCTGCAGTTGCTTACTCGTATGATACTATCTGTGAGAATGAACAATGTGTGTTGACAATGATGCTTCGCAGAGAAAAAAATAATGCTGTGTAGAAAAGCAGAAAGGGGAATCTATTTGAATGTCTGGAAATACTGTTCTAATTATTCTACGATTGTTTATGAAGATATTTCTGGAAGATTTGATAACTGGCAACTTTTGACTTATCAAAGAGCTATATATATATATATACACCTCGACTGTACTTGCATTCCTCGATATAACTGCGTCGTGCGTTACATACGGACACAGTAAGTAGAAATCTTGTAGTATTTACTTTAATGATTATTGGGTAGTTTCGAAAGCAATCTTCTGTGGGTATTGGGTTATGTATGTAGTGTATGCTAACGGCTTAGTAGGCTAGTGGTAGCAGTAGCAATCATAACATCTAAGTTATAATCAAACACACATACATATGTATGTATGTATGTATGTATGTATGTATGTATGTATGTATGTATGTATGTATGTATGTATGTATGTATGTATGTATGTATGTATGTATGTATGTATCAAACAACGGCACATGAAAAAGGCGCAGCGACTATGTAGAATTATTCCAAATTCCTTTCGCCTTTTCAGTTGGCATTTCAGAACAAACAACTAGGCCTGTTTGTTCGGCTTCTGTGGCCGCCTCCTGCCACAGACGTCGGCTTGTACGTGACCCCCAGTCCACGATTTATTAACTACTCTTCTGCATCAAGATGAATAAATGCTAGATTAATACTTAATTGTTCGAATTAATTATAGTGTAACTTTGCATAATCAATCAGTGGATTTCAATGTGACAAAATTAATACTATTAATTAGTGCAATTCAATCACTGACTTCAATCTTTGTGAAAATCCAAGAATAATCCTAAAAGAATAGTGATCATAATAAATATAGAAAGTTAATGATAATACACACAAATTAACTTGTATTTCTAAGTGAATAAATGAAGCAAACATCAAGCAAGTAAAAGTAAAAATCATAAACAAGACTTGATAGATAAAAAATCGATCTTACGGTCCTTCGGGAATATTGATCGTTGAGCATTCAATCTTGGAAAGCACCTGAGTATCTAAATATACTTACAAGCTAACGTATATATATCCATTAACCGTTAATAAAGATATATCTAACACAATACTGCCACAACTTAAATGAAAATTGATAATTTAGTGGATTCATTAAATATTCATAAAAATCTTCATTTTCCTCCTAATCCTAACTATGTCTCAGAAAACCATTTTTAGTTGCCGTCCTCTACGTTCTATCAGGATGGTACACTAAAGGCCTTTTTTGTAGCACCACGAAACACCCAACACTTGTCACGGTCACTACGAAGCATAGTAACATCAAAGTTTGGACTGACACACAAAGGTTTGAAAAGAAAAAAAAAGTCTTAATTTCACAAAAAAGGTAGTGAAAACCATAAAAGTGCTTTGCAAGCAGATCTGATATTTGATTATAAATAAGAGATTGAGGAAGCTTCAAATAAAAGGGGAGAAGTACCTGACTACTTTGCAAACCATTTTGTTTGCTTTGCAAGGCAGTGAAAACTTTCAAATGTATTTCTCAGATTCAGTCAAGCCATTTTTTTCTTATTATAGATATTGCTCTTCACGTGAAAAGTGGAAGTTACATGAAGTTTGCATCTTCTCGTCCACCGCGAGTGGGCTCCGCATCCAAATCAGACAGCTAGATAATTCCAGTGATCACAGGCATTTACTTGTCTTCTGGTTGAATTCAGTCAACAAATCAAGTTGCACAGCCTTTGTTTAAATAATTTTGAGGTTATATCATTGACGTATAAAATGATTTTGAAGAAATTTATCCATCCGCAGTCAGTACCACATATGACTCGGACACGTTGGAAATTCTTACCATGTCGTTCCGTCGTGACTGACTTCAAACCTTACCCATATCAAGTGAACATAAATTTGATGTACTGCTAGTAAGCCACAAAAGCATTTTCTGCACCTTTAATATAGGAATTTATATAACGAAACTCTCAATGCGATTTATGATGAAAATATAAATCCCTATCTGAGACCACGTGAAATATATCTGAAAACTATCGCGCTTTGATTGGCTGGCCGGAGTGTATGAAACTGTATCGAGGTAGAGGCATACAATCTGGTACAAACCAAAAAGATGTTTCAACAGGTTCCAATAATGTGCACGTAAAGGACAAACATGTATCAAAGTGTCTTGAGTGTTAGTGGTTTTGGAAATGCTATAAACAAGATTCCTAACATCAATTTGAACAGGCTTACTGCACAGCCATGCACATGTACCTATTTTGGTAGCTCTGATACATGTTTGAATGTGAGGTGGTAACTCTCAAATTAAAGTTGGCCTCACTTAATAAAAGCCCTTCCCCCTCCCCCTTCCAGTGCTGGCCTGCCCTTCACCCCTCCCCCTTCCTCCCAAAATGTTTCTACATCCCCCTGTATCTATTGAAATCTAGATAACTTAAAATGTTATTAGATGTTATTAATTATTAATGTTATTATAATCGCCGCCACCACCGCTGTTTTATTAGAAAACGGAAAAATAGATATCCTCCAAGTGAATTAATTATTTCAATAGTATTAAAATCATAATTCCTGTAATGAAGGGATTCAGTAAACTAAAGTTAAAGTTTCCTATGTTTTACTATTTTTAGTTTTACAGTTTAATTACATTAAGTCTATATTGATATACATTAAATCTATATACAACTGGAACGTTCTTTAAAAACTTGATAAATACAAATGACAAGCCCTGCTTACCAAAATAACCAACAAAGACACACTGGCCATGGTTTCTCCCAGATCTCTCTTGCACGGCGCCTCCCAGACGAAGAGGGAAAACGACCCTGGGTCAGCCTGCCGGTCGCTCCCTCACATACATCATCATCACGTGATCGCACCTCGTACGATGTCCCGTCATCACGGTTTTTTCCACTTGTGCCCTGCACTCGTGATTTTCCTTTCTTTTCTAACACTCCTGGAAGATTCCTAATATTCCACATATCTACTTCTCTATCCTACATTTCCGTTCCTGCCCCCTTTCTCTCCCAATCCAGTTCTTTGGCTCCTTTCTCTCCCATCAAATTCTTTGGCCCTTTCTCTCCCATCAAATTCTTTGGCCCTTTCTCTCCCATCAAATTCTTTGGCCCTTTCTCTCCCATCAAATTCTTTGGCCCTTTCTCTCCCATCAAATTCTTTGGCCCTTTCTCTCCCATCAAATTCTTTGGCCCTTTCTCTCCCATCAAATTCTTTGGCCCTTTCTCTCCCATCAAATTCTTTGGCCCTTTCTCTCCCATCAAATTCTTTGGCCCTTTCTCTCCCATCAAATTCTTTGGCTCCCTTCTCTCCCAATCCAATTCTTTGGCCCTTTCTCTCCCAATCCAATTCTTTGGCCCTTTCTCTCCCAATCAAATTCTTTGGCCCTTTCTCTCCCATCAAATTCTTTGGCCCTTTCTCTCCCAATCAAATTCTTTGGCCCTTTCTCTCCCATCAAATTCTTTGGCTCCCTTCTCTCCCAATCCAATTCTTTGGCCCTTTCTCTCCCAATCAAATTCTTTGGCCCTTTCTCTCCCATCAAATTCTTTGGCTCCCTTCTCTCCCAATCCAATTCTTTGGCCCTTTTCTCTCCCAATCAAATTCTTTGGCTCCTTTCTCTCCCATCAAATTCTTTGGCTCCCTTCTCTTCCAATCCAATTCTTTGGCCCTTTTCTCTCCCAATCAAATTCTTTGGCAGTTCTAAACCCAGGCACTCCAGTCTCTGACCCGACACTTCCCTCCTCGCTCTACTCATAGCAGACAATCTAAACGTTCCACCCCATCTTGTGCCACGCCCTCCGCACCTATTTCCTCCTCTGCCCCACAGACACCCATCTCCTCTTCTCCCCCTCCACTTCAGAAACTCTCGAAGACATTCAAAACTATCTAATCATGGCCCAGGATAACATGCCTATGCCTCATCCATCCTCCAGTCTCTCTGCTCTTATTCCCTCTACACTCAAGGTAACTGCCGACATCCATCTTCCTCCTACTCATGTCTCCCTACACCCCTTCCTCCCACTCCCTCCCAGCACATCCCATTCCCCCTGCTTCAGCCGCATCATCCCCCCTTCCTTCCCCATGTATCCCCCTGGATACATTTGGGACCCTTTGCCACAACAGCCCTCTTCCCTGGATTCTCTCCTTCCTTAAACCCCTTTCCCCTTTGCTAATCCCTACCTTACCCTACGGAGATCCTTGCAGAATCCCACACTTCTTTCTTTGACAACCCTGACCTAATCACCCTTGTCAATCCCTACCTTAGCCCATTCACTTGTCCTCTCTACCCTCCCCCTCTTTGCCCCCTTCAGTGCCGTCATTTTCTGAACTGCTAAACTTTTGACAAGCAGCACATTTAATCATCAACTAACCCCCTCTTTACCCTTTTCACTACTACAACTTCGTATAGTGCTCTGTGACCTTTGATGTCTAGAATATTAATTTTGCTTTATGAACATGAACCGTTGCTGCTGTGCAAGGCATGTAACTTCCTTCTGCTCATGTCTAGATACAGTCAACTAGAGCATTCGTGATTCTTGCAAAAGGCCTACTTGACGTCATCCCAGACTGCAAAAAGGCCATGACAATGAACTAAGGTGCTCTACAGTTACACGAAACTTCAAGGAGTCAGTTGTGGATTTACCAGGCCTGTTGATCAGTGTAAAGCCTTATTGACTGGTGCTCTCTCGC